TGAGGTCTTGTCGAACGTTGGAGCATCCTAGTGGAAGCGAGTGAGTGAAGAAGAGGCAAGTCAGAGTTCTTGTGGGGAATGAGGAGAGGGGCTTGAGAGGAGGAGGAGGAGGAGGAGGAGGAGGAGGAGGAGGAGGTGGTGGTGGTGGTGGTGGTGGTGGTGGAGGAGGAGGAGGAGGAGGAGGTGGTGGTGGTGGTGGTGGAGGAGGAGGAGCAAAGGGTATGGGTGTACTTGATCTCCAGCGACATGAAGGCAGTGACAGACACATCGGACCAGGAGGTCTGCAGGAAGGCTAAGCAGCTGCCGCAACCTCCTCTGTTCTCCTCTCCTCCCCTCTCTCACTTGTATCTAGACCCTCCACATTGATGCAGTCTTCCGGTAGATCGCAGCCGCTCTGCCATGGCAGCGTCAGGCTCCCACGTGAGGCGTCGAGCTGTTTGCCTGCCGCAGGGAGACAAGGAGGATTTCATCTGCTTCCTCGCGACTCATCGAGACCTGTACAGCTGTCAGACCAGCCTCCCCTGCCCCTTCCTTCTGATCCTGCCGCTGCTGCCGCTGCCGCTGCTGCTGCTGCTCTTCGCTACTGTGCATCTGCTCTGCTGCCCTCTCCTGGAAAAGAATCTCTGGCATCCTGTCCTTCCCATGATCTGGTAAGATACATCTGACCTCCTTTCCTCCTCTCCTCCTCTCCTCCTCTCTCCTGTCCTGCCCTGCCCTCTCCTCGCTCTCATTTCTGGTGACGTTCACATCAGGATCCGCACATCCGGTAGACCAGAGCCTGACACTGAGCGGCCGGGCCGGGCCCGCCGGCCCGGGCCGCGTCACTACTTGCCAGTACACTGACCGTACGGAATGCCAGGCTGAGTGGCTGAGTGCCCGGCCGGACCTTTACTCAAAGTTAAGTTAAAATCAGTACGAGGACAATCAGGAGAGTCGAGGAGGCTTGAGGCGAGTCTGACTGTGAAAGAAGGAGGACGAGCTCCGACTCTCTTTACAGAGCTCCGACTCCGGCCCGCCGGCCCGCCGGCCCGGTCACCGGGTCCGTATTCCCGGACGGTTACTAGTGACCTTGAACAGTCAAACATGTCAATCTTTTTTCTTGAGCAACCGCAGGGAGAAAATGATGGCGGAAGTTGGAAGAGGAGAGTAGAGGAGGACTAGAGTAGGAGAGTAGAGGAGGAGAGTAGAGGAGGACTAGAGTAGAGGAGGAGAGTAGAGGAGGAGAGTAGAGGAGGAGAGTAGAGGAGGAGAGTAGAGGAGGACTAGAGTAGAAGAGGAGAGTAGAGGAGGAGAGTAGAGGAGCCTGTAGAGGAGGAGAGTAGAGGAGGAGAGTAGAGGAGGACTAGAGGACTAGACTCAGAGTAGAGGAGGAGAGTTGCCAAGTTGAGGAGGACTAGAGTAGAGGAAGAGAGTAGATGAGGACTAAGACTCCTTTGTTTGACACCCTCCGAGAATCTGAGCACGAGAGGAGAGGAGCTGCGTTGGACTGCTGACGAAGTTTGCTAACTTACAGACACTAAGGAACCTTTTGAGAAGCCGAGGAATGAGCGTACTTACAGAGAGCTTGGCGGACAGAGAGAGGTCTGTTGAGAGAGGCGCTAGCCAGGGTCGTCATGCTCTCTTGGAGCAGGTGGATTGCGCATGCTCTCCATGTCAACAGCGTGACTACTCCTGGTCTACTCGGGTCAGTTCAGTCGCGCTGGGCTGACATCTTGACGCCTCTATGGCAGGATCGCAGCCTATCCGCAATACGAGAAGGCGCTCAAAGGAGGCTCGCGGAAGGAAGGTACCTGCCTGCCTGCCTGCCTGCCTGCCTGCCTGCCTCCCTCCCTCCCTGCCTCCCTGCCTCCCTGCCTCCCTCCCCCCCTGCCTGCCTGCCTGCCTGCCTGCCTGCCTGCCTGCCTGCCTGGTGGTGGTCTTCGTCTTTCTTCTTTTCACCTCCTCCCTCCAGGAAGGTTCTACTTCGACCCTCGAGTGTCGACGCAGAAAAGCGGTCCGTATCCGGGGATAGATGGGGCGCCAGGTGAGGAGAGGAGAGGAGAGGAGAAGAGGAGGGGAGGGGAGGGGAGGGGAGGGGAGGGAAGAGGAGAGGAGAGGAGAGCAGAGGAGTGGAGAGGAGGAGCAGAGGAGGGGAGAGGAGAGGAGAGGAGAGGAGAGGAGAGGAGAGGAGAGGAGAGGAGAGGAGTGAGAGTGGGGAAGGAGATCAGTCTTGGTCGGTCACTACGAGAGTTTCAGATCTTAGCCTCCACAAGTATCCTGGCAGCGCAAAACAGTTTCGAAGCTACTCGGATATCAAGAACGACAAGTCGTGACCTGCATCGCCCATACCAGCCATGCAAGTTTGACCTCCTCCTGCTGCAGAACCATGCACGTCCGACCCAAGAAGGGCCCTGTGGATCTCTTCATCCAGCCGGTGCTTGCTCTTTGCTTCTCCTCAGCCACAGCTGACTCTCCCTGCTCTGTAGAACACTGCCAGCCAGTACATCGGGTGGAAGGTTCTCGACTCTAGCCTGTCAGTGTAGCAGTTGGAGGCGTCAGTGTTGTTCGTTTGACCCCTTTGGTGACTTTAGATACGTGAAAGACATCTACGACCCCGTCACTAACTACACCGGTGAACTCTCCCTTCTCCTTTCTCCCCAGCTCTCTACCCACAGCTCTCCTCCCTAGCTGCTGCTGTGCTGTTTCTGACGGTCCGACCGTACGGTCTCGTTCTCAGGGCTGTACAAGCCCAAGATGGGATCGCGAGAGACGAAGTATGCTGAGAGTTTAATCCTCGGGCCAAGGGCGATCTAGGGGGCCGGGGGACCGTGACGTGACTGACTGATGCCACTCAAGATACTAAAAATCGATATCAGTGCGATCCTACTACAGTACGTCTGTCATCGCACCGTGGCCTACGCCCGGCCGTGCCGGACGCCGTTGCCGCGGGCCCGGTCACCGATGTCCGGTCGCTGCCAGTGCACGCGTACGGTCACCCGGGGGCCCGGTATTATTAGGCAGACCACGGCGGCAGGGTGGGCCCGACGGCCCTCCGAGTACCGTGACGGTTCACGGTTTTCCCGGCGACGGCCGGGCCCCGGCGGTGCGACAGAGAGAGACTGAGAGAGCCGCTGAGCCGCCGGCCGGGCTTTTGAAAGACTCGTAGTAAAATTGAAACTCAAGTTGAAAAGGCAAGTTATAAAAGCAGTACTGAGGGGTACTGATTTTAACTTAACTTTGAGTAAAGGGATTGACTACTGAGGACTATTCCGACCTTCAAGGTCTATTAGAGCACCCGCGATGATGGCAGCGTAGGACAGGGAGGCCTTGAGCTGACGGAAGATCCTGGACCGAATGCGTTTGCAAGTCGGATCACCTGAGACGTCTTGCGAGGCCGAGAGACCATCCAGCGCTGCCGTTTCCTTGTTCGCCGAGCGATCCGCCAGCCACCACAGAAAGCGCAATGCATCATCCTGCAAGAGTCCATCAGTGCTGGCGATGATGGGAAGAAAGCCCTTTGGCGGGACGTGCAGAGCATATGCATTACGGTGCCCTCGGATCTTCCTCTGTGCTGCTGCTTGCAGTTTACTCCGAGCCAGGTCCGGTATCCCATCATTGTCAAAAACATGTGACATGCTGAAGTCCAGGATTAACCCATGCCATCGGCCTGTAGTAGCCTGCAATTGCGGAAGTTCAAAATCCCCTACGTGATGATCGTCAGGGCCATGCTGGGAAATGTTCCGCCTGGTGCCGGGAACGCCTTGCACGTGGACGCGACATCTCACTCCTGAATCTTTGATGAGGGTACTGAGGGCGGCATTGCACTTCTCATGCGCATCCGTCCATAACGGGCTGCGGTGCCTGCAGGTTGCCATGTGTGTGGCCCCCCCAGGTGCGGGTTTTTCTCTTCTCGGCGCCGTTTGGCCTCGGGCCTGTGCGATCGGACCGCTACTACGGAAAGGTCGGAAGAGAGGGCACTGAATTAAAACCAACGATGGGAGGTACACGATGGGGGAGCTGGATTGTTGTATCCATGCTCAGGATGCAAGCCTGATGTACCATCATCTTTGCGCGAATGAGTATTTAGAATCGGAAGGATACAACGCCTGTGAATGTTGGCAACGTGGGGAAACAGCGATTTCCTCAATTTCTTAGGATAAGCTTGCATCCCTCGCAAGAAGTCATCTCGAGGGATCTGATCATGGCGCAATACGCTATGTGTTGATGTGCGAAACTGACAATTTTCAGGTCATCCCCACTATCTTCGTGGCTCTTTATGTTACATGGAACTTGTACAGTGATGGACTAACTCTTTCTCGAGAGCTCTTCCTTACGTCAATTGTAAAACGATTTCAAGTGCCACGGAATAGCACGACAACAATTTGGCCAGACCAATACATCAAGAATTTCGCCAAGTCACCTGATGATGACTTCATCAAACAGAAGCCGAGCTTCATACACTCTCTGCCCACTTGCAGAGATTTGTCATTTTTCGTGCTTTCTTCACGTTCTGCGCATGAGAGTGAACAATCCAACTCGTTTACTGCATCGTCAATCAAGATCTTGCAACCGTGCACTTGCTCAGATGTAACTCGTCGAGCTCGAACAGGAAACCTTCGTTCCGGACCAGGTCTCTTCATATGATCAACTTGCTGATCTCTCACCAAGATCATTCCATTTCTGCTTGTTTGTCGCAATGCAATGGCCATTATCGGCTGGCAAGCATCCGGGGGGTTGAATACCGCTGAGATCGAAAACGTTGTTGTTGTTGTTTTATGCTTCAGGGAACCCCATTCAGACACTTGTGGCCGCAGGGCGCACTCTGCATGACATGCTGGTGCTATGACATTGAGAATCGTCGGGTTAGCGCGACACTCCAGGTCAAACAACCCAAGCAGAGAGTGCGATGGATCGTGGTGATGTACTAAGACTTAGAGCGGTGAACGAACCCAACCAGAATCATCTCCTCACTAGTATTCGTTATGTTGCTTTGACAAGACTAAAGGAGAAACGGCTCACGGTCGTCGCCTGCTTGCTCCCGTTGCAAGCTTCTTCGTTCCGAGTCCCCTCCCGCCCTTCCCCTCCCGATCTAGACTTCCTCTCCCTTGCAAGCTTCTTTGTTCCAAATGTCACCTCTCCCATCTTCTCTTCACCGGATCGATACGACACAGGCATTCGGAATATAAATACGTTCCTTCAATTTGTTCGGAGAGACATCATAATGCCAATCAAATACAGAATACATGTAATCTGCAACTTTGTCGGATATCCATGAATCAGATGGCTGCCATGCAGATCGTATGGTATCATTCCAAAGACACCTCAATTCCACTGTCAAGTCTCCCCGTCGCCTCAGGTGCATTGCTTTCTGTCACAAGGCGCGCTGAACCGCAGAATGGTTCTGTTTTCAATCCAATCTCCACTATGATTAGCACTCTTTTACGCGTACCCGTCTGAGCCTTGCCTCCCTCGTTACCGCGTTTCCTCCTCTTGAATTCTGGTTCGACAATTGACGGGACTGTGGCAAACCATTTTCTACCTGCCCTCAAATGCAAGACCAGCCATTCAGTGTTGGAGGTTCTTGGCACCACAAATCTTTTGCGAGCTTTTTTTGATAACGCCGATACCATGCACAGGTTGACATCCAGATCCTGTGACACTAGCCCTGAAAGGACGTCGAACAAGTATTTCGGGGCAAGAGGAGAGGATAAGTTCTTGAACTCCGCTCCACCCTTCCACCTCTGCTTGTTTGCACAAGTCGGCCCTGCGAATGTGCCATCCCTGCCCTGTACATCTTTGTTACGTGTATAAAAGCCCAAGATAGCGGACAGGGAATGATCCTGCTCGCTCTCCTTGACAGGGACAAGGTTGCTCACGCACGAGGTTAGCATCTCTGCAAAGATTTCCTTGTTTGGAATAGAAGCAAGAATACCGTTCACACTTCTCTCGTCTGTTATACCGCAATGAAAAGCGATTCGCTTCAGAAGGTTCTGAGGACGAGACCAGCTGCTGATCATCATGACCACTGCCCCAAACGACTCCAGGAGATTCCCGTCTCGCTTCCACGCATCCAAACTCAGAGGATCATGTCCCAACGACTGATTCTTGTGAATCATCTGCAAGACCGCAAGCGCTGACTCATTAGAGAAAGGTCTCCCACCTCCTGCACAAACAGCTGTCGTTATGGGATCGAGCACTGCAGGAGGAAACCTCGAAGTTATCTCGGAAAGCATGGTGCCTTCCATCCACGGATTCTCGTGCTTTATACTGACCTCCACGATTGATTCGTCACTGTCACGGGCTGGCGGATCCTCCATTTTCCATATATTCAGCTGAGCAAACCCCTGGGAGATATGCAGCTGAGAGACGGCTTCATGTGCAGCAATCTGAAACATGCAGTATTTTGACTCTACCCTCCAATTCGGTTTGCGCGCCCTGACTGTATTATGGACCAATAATGATATCCGTCGGAGAACTACATGTGCTTCGGCGTTCATATATCGGGAGTCTTTCAGGACCTCAGTCACAAAAAGGTCGCAGATCATTGGATTGACGCAGTCCAGTAGCTTGGGTACCAGTGCCTCCCCGAAAATCCTGTTCAGGGCCTTTTGAGCTCTCTTTGACGGCAAGATATATGGAGGAAGAGAGCGATGTGTCAAGCAGAGCATTATTCGACCAGCCTCGCGACTGTGTTCAGACACTCGCGCATCCTGTACGAAATTCATGACCAGAGTGTTGGTCCCCAACATGATGCAGTTGATTCCAGAGTTGGTCAATAACCTTTTCAAGAACACGAGCTTTGCGATTATTGAGAAAAAGCGAGCATCGTCTTTCCGAGGAGGAATCACCTCGTCCACAAGCACCCAACGCGTTTTCCACTCAGCTGCCTCTTCTATAGAAACGGGGGCGATGGTGGTCAACTCATCCCACAGCCAGCCAAGGACTCCCAGCACATGCCACCTGCTTGGTTGTCCGGTGCTGAAATTGAAATTCAATGCGGTCAGAGGATCTGTTTTCTTCATCGACCCGACATACTGCCTTGTCAAGATGCTAAGATCGCACTCTAATGCCTTGCTCATCAGTTGCGTGATCAACTGCAAGTTCTGGTAGATGGGTTGCACTTGGTATGTCTGGTCCCCTTCTACAGGGTTGAAGAGAAACAAAATGCTGTCATCTACATTCCGAACAAAGTAATCGGCAGCGCAAAGAGACTTTCCACTCCCAGAGCAAGCTTCTACTAAGCAGACGTAAGTTTCCTTATCGTTTCGCGCTTTCATGACCAGTTTGTTGATTGGGTTCAAATCACTGAATTGCTTGCTTGGTTGTACCCATGATGATGTTGGCTTCCATCCTCCATCAAGGCTCTCTTTCAAGCCTTTCCTCAACTTCTTCGCCATTTGTTTTACGTTGACTTTAGCGGCCATTTTACACAGAACTGCACCAAACGCAGTCAGGGTATTCAACTCCGGGCCAGCATAAAGGCTCACCTGAAAGGAACTTGCCTGCGCCATCACACTGGTGTGAGATCAGAGCATACCTTGCAACCTCGAGCTCCCTGCTAAGTCGAGCAGCATCTTCCCCTGTTGCATTTCTGAGCAATTCACTCACAGTTGCCACAGAGAGATTGAGATTCGCCTCCGTCAAATTTCTTTTAGCATGCGCCAACTCCTCGTCGCCTTCAAACTTGGCTAGCTTAAGCTCATCTTTACTCAGCTGCACTTGTGCCTCCGCTGTCTTCTTGTCGTTGCCTTCAAACTTGGCTAGCTTAAGCTCCTCTTTACTCAGCTGCACTTGTGCCTCCGCAGTCTTCTTCTTGTTGCCTTCAAACTTGGCTAGCTTAAGCTCATCTTTACTCAGCTGCACTTGTGCCTCCGCTGTCTTCTTGTCGTCGCCTTCAAGCTCGGCTAGCTTAAGCTCATCTTTACTCAGCTGCACTTGTGCCTCCGCTGTCTTCTTCTTGTTGCCTTCAAGCTCGGCTAGCTTAAGCTCATCTTTACTCAGCCGCACTTGTGCCTCCGCTGTCTTCTTCTTGTCGTCTTCAAGCTCGGCTAGCCTAAGCTGCTCTTTTCTCAGCCGCACTTGTGCCTCCGCTGTCTTCTTCTTGTCGCCTTCAAGCTCGGCTAGCCTAAGCTGCTCTTTTCTCAGCCGCACTTGTGCCTCCGCTCTCTTCTTGTCGCCTTCAAGCTCACTGTCAGCTCCCTTGAGCACAGTCAGATCGTGCTCTGCCTCCCTCAGCCGGACTAGAGCCCGTGCCTTTTCAACATCGCCCGACTTGGCAAAGAACTCCTGCTGTGCCTGAGCGACTTTCGCAAGTGCCTGGGCAAGGTAGTCGGGACGGTTCGAGTCTCGGCCAGATCTTTGTTCCATCTCTCAGAACAACCAAGAAAGGCAGATCACAGTCTGACAACCAAGAAAGGCAGATCACAGTCTGACAACCAAGAAAGACAGATCACAGTCTGACAACCAAGAAAGACAGATCACAGTCTGACAACCAAGAAAGACAGATCACAGTCTGGCAACCAAGAAAGACAGATCACAGTCTGACAACCAAGAAAGACAGATCACAGTCTGACAACCAAGAAAGACAGATCACAGTCTGACAACCAAGAAAGACAGATCACAGTCTGGCAACCAAGAAAGACAGATCACAGTCTGACAACCAAGAAAGACAGATCACAGTCTGACAACCAAGAAAGGCAGATCACAGTCTGACAACCAAGAAAGACAGATCACAGTCTGACAACCAAGAAAGACAGATCACAGTCTGGCAACCAAGAAAGGCAGATCATTCTGCTTTATTTTATTAACTGAAAAAGATCATAGTCTTGGGTTGAGTATAAACAGAGAAGTAGTGCTGCACCCCAGAATTTACCATGAGAGGATGGGGTAGTCTACTAACTAATTTGTAAAGCCTTCTTATTATGGTACAATTTTATAAAACAATTTTAAAGCTTTTTTCATAAAATTTAAAACTTTTTTTTATAAATTCTTTAAAACTTTTTATAAAATTAAAAAGCATCCGCCATGAGCCTCCCTTGTTCGGGGCACGTCGCACCGCTCTGTACTGCCCTAACCATGACTCGCGAACAGCGAGCCCGCAGCAGCATGTGCAGACATCAGATGTTCACCGAACATCATCATGGGAAATTCCTGAGGTGTAGAGATGATGATTCTTGAGGAGTGCTTCGTACCGTGTGTGAATCTCACGAAAAATCGTTTGGTAATCGAAGAGCATCAATAATACAAGTGAAAACCACCATCACAGGGATACATTGCAATCGAAACCGGAGCGTAAAATACCCTAAGCTATCTGCGATGCATGACAGGGAAACTGAGTTGGAGTAGATAGACGGAGACTACACACAAGACGACAGGGAATCATCATCTGACGGTGACTGGAATGTTAAAAAAGCCGAACAGTCACCAGTGAGCTCAAGAACACATGTCTTCACGACGATGTCTGATAGGTTCGCAAGAAATACAGTGCATTTTAGCAGTGAGCTGCTCGATTGCTTGAAACCACGATGATCCACAGCACTATCGAACGATAACAAGCAAGTCCAGTGGTTCGTGAAGGGTTCCTCATACGTTTTCAAGAATGTGTTGGAACGATGAAACATGTTGCAAATCACCAAGGTCTATGCCATTTGATCACATGATGCATCATGTAAATATTACTGGTGTGAACTTTTTCAGATTGTGTCTTCATCAATGAGCCGCTGCCAAGCAGATGATACGGTCACAGCAAACATGAGCACTTTGAAGATGCTGAAATTCCAGGCCATACAGCATTTATGATGTGGCCACATGTCACATTCTTCGTGGTTAACACAGATACAGCTTCGCCAGGCACAAGATGGAACGTCGTCAGGATGACAAGGAGGTCGCTTGTGCTTTTACCCTGATGATTGAAACGCTTATAATAAAGATATGATAACCTGAATGTGTAATGCTGTTTATTGATTCACAGTGTTTGTGGTCCGTTTACAATCATCGAGTGCTTGCTCTGTTGAACAAGGCACTCCTCTGTAGAGCCAAATGCGACAAGAACTCTACGGTTGCATGGTAGCATTGCGAACTGTCCAAACAAGGCAGGATTGATTCGAAGAACATCTCATTTATTGATACTAAAATTCATCTGCACATTGTTTCATTTCTGATTAGGTTTCTGCAGCGTTGTGGAAATGTCATGATACAGGAAGAAGTTGCAGTGCAGAAAAATCATCCAACGTCATGAAACATGGAAACGCAATGGTCAATGCACTTGATCATGGATATAGTGATTCATGATCAACTACGATTCTTTAAAGTCATCTATTCTGGCAGGTAGAGAAATCCTTTGTGCAACCGTCTTTTCATGCATCGTTGAACGGTTGAGTACATTTTAAAGGCTTTTCTCTATAGAAAAGTGAGGTGCATGAATCCTGACCGTAAGACTAGAAAGAATTGAAAGTGAGTGATGACATGAGAACACATATCTAGACAGCAAGTCGTATAAGGTACAGCTGGATACAAATTTCTCACAAATCATGCATTCGAGCTCAACGTGCAACCTACGGCAATCTGAAAGAAGGGTCAATCAGAGTTGATTCTGTTCAATGGTGCATCCATTTTTAGTTGCTTACCTGTTCATGAAAATTTAATCTTGTCTTCAAAGAATATTTGCAAGTACACTCGCGGATTGTTTGAACCAAGGGTGCATATTCCAGTACACGATGGATGATTCAAACCTTGGCCCAACCAGCAGAGTTGAGAAAGAAGCTCGATCATCTCTTACAGGTATGATATGAGATCTTCATCTCATTCCTATCTCAGTTGGGTTGGATTCGAAGTATCTCATTATCAAGGTTCATCCTCGCGAGTCAGGAAGGCACCATTTCATCGCCTCTTGCTCGTCCATGGAGAAGCTTGGGGAATGAGAAAAGGGGGCTACCCCCCACCCCGTATCGCAAAGTTTCAAACTGTTTCAAAGGTGGGTAGTTGAGGGTGCTCCACCCCCACCCCACCCCCAAACGATACTCAAACGGAGGGGTTCTCGGAAGTCGAAGTTCCGACCAGTTTGGCCCTCGTGACTCCGGGTGTCCAAGCAACCAAATTCAACTTGCAAATCACCCTACCCCTCTTTCAGTTTGGCCCTGCCGCCGGCCGGGCACAGCAACTTCCCGCGGCCGCCGGTTGTCACGGAACCGATTTTCAAGTTGACGGAGCGCATGCCAGCCGTGCCAGTCAGATAGCGCCGAGTTGACAAAGACTCTCCTGTAAACCAAGACGACCTTAAGTTACGTGGCAGGTGATGGATTGTATGCTGTAGCGAAGTAAAGAGCAGGTTGGTGATCGACTTGACTTCAAGGATCAGTAAGTATTTACGAAGTAGAATAGAGGAATAGAATAATGAATGAAGCTAGGTAAGGATAGAGTTTCGAGAGCCTGAGAGAGGATAAGGAAGGAGAGAAGGAGACAGAAGAGGAAGAGGAAGAGGGGGAAGGAGAGAGAAGAGGAAGAGAGAGTGTTCACCAGGGGTACAGTCCACTCCATCCCATTGCAGCGAACAGTCGTAATAGAACGTTCGGCGACGATTCCATCGGACCGGAACCGTTCCAGTACAGTTACATTCTCTCACTGCCGTTTTCCGAAGTTCTGGCCAAGTCTGGGCTCTGATTGGGAGTCCTGGCAAGTCACTCAATCCTTCAGGGATAGGAAATTGGCCTACTACACCTGTTTAGTTAGATTCATGTGTTGATAAGGCCAAGAGGTTTTGTCATGAGGTCAAAGGATTTCTGATTAGCCTGCCATGATGATCAGTGTACAACAGTCTGTAGTGCAAGACTGTTGTTCGAAGTTCATGGCTTGGTTCTGTTCTGGTCTGGTTTCGTGTGCATTAAACTCGGTCTTGAGCAAAAACTGTCACAGTGTTGTCATTAAGGTCAATATGCCATGATACTGATGATCTGCATTACTTCAGGCCGTGCCAGTCAGATAGCGCCGAGTTAACAAAACTCTCCTGTAAACCAAGACGACCTTGTGACGTGGCAGGGCGGGAATGTAGCACACGTGACGAAGTAGCCGCCTTGCTGACTCTGAGAGGTGCTAGGATGATGAAACCTAGGCATGACTCAGTACAAGTCTGACAAACTTGTACTAGTGTAGTCCGTCAATCGGACACTGAATCGGAACATTGAATTCTGCCCTCGGAGTTTGCTATCATGAGTCAAGTTGGAATTAGTCCTTGAAATTTCTGTCCCACCCCAGGATGGGAGAAGAAAATGAGGCGGACTTGGTACTTGTTCACAAGGCATACAAAGGAAATGCAGGAGGGAAGGGGGGGGGGAGAGAGAGAGAGGAGGGAGAGGAGGGAGAGGAGGGGGAGAGAGAGGAGGATGAGCGAGAGAGGTTGAGGAAGGTGGGGCGAAGCGGGGAGGGAAGAAGAAGAAGCGACATATGACGCCTCCAACTGCAGGATGAAAGAAGAAACCAAGTGAGCAAAGTAGCTGGAGAAACGAGGCGATGCCGCATGACGATGTTGTTCTTGGAGTGAGTCACTTGTAGCATGCCTGCTGTTTGTAATGATTCTCCTGCTCCTACTCCTGCTCCTGTTCGTGGTCCTACTCCTGCTCCTTCTGCTCCTCCACTAGGTCATCGCAGCCATTGGCTCTCCCTTCGTCCTCTCCTTCGGTCTCCTCTTGTGGGAAAAGTGGACCGGGAGTGCTATCCTCCTCAACGCGGTGAGATGATGCTGGTGCTGGTGCTGGTGCTGGTGGTGGTGGTGGTGGTGGTGGTGGTGGTGGTGGTGGTGGTGGTGGTGGTGGTGGTGGTGGTGGTGGTGCTGGTGGTCTTTGTCTCTGACTTGGCTCCTTTGGGGCAGGTCAAATGCTCCGTCGCTCTTGTCCTCTTCCTCTGCATCGTCCCTGCGAGGTTGGAGATGTGGGAGAAGCTGGTGGGA